TTATATAAACATACGTGGAGTTTAATTGATATTTGGAATTGATTCAGACCTTTTATAATCTGGAATGCAGTTTTATTTGATTTGAGTTGCTTGTTCAATTTATTTAAGAAATATCTTGTGAATTATGTAAATGTAATGAAATTGATTATCGTATTTACAAATTATACAAATATTATAAACAATATAATATAAACATAGTAAACAGTATAATATGTAATAGATGATAATATATATATATATCTATATATATATATATTTATATATGTTTGTGTGTGTATTTGTTCTGTGTTTGTAATGCTCTGCTTCCTAGCAACCTATTGTAGTAAACATATACTCTTCTTTTATCTATGCGTATAACATTCATTTTTTGCACTTCATTAGGTTTAGTGCAAAAGAACTCTATAATTATATAAATTTTATACTCTAGTATTTAAATATAAAGGATCTAGCAATAATATCTTAAATGCACACGGCGGAAAAATTTATTGGCAACGGAAAGCAAACGACCAAATTGCCTGAGTATACTATGAAAGGTATCAGACAAAATATAAAGAAACCTTTTAAAAATGTAAAACGTCGTTTTAAACTTTTATTTATTATATTTAAAAACAATCCAAAAAAATAATTCTACACATAATACACAGTTTTAAATTAAAAAAATATTTATAGCTAATAAAAATTATGCAGTACAATCAACGCAAAACTTGGAATGGCTCTTGTATGATAAATATGTACGTCGACAATTCACCATTTGCCGGCAAATTATAGCACAAACTTTGAAAGAAAATGATTGTCGAAGTGAATACTGTTATTATATACAGGTATATACAAAAAAACCATTTCGACCATATAATATTAAATATATTAATCACTTGTGCCGATATTTTATTGGTGCGATTTGATTGTATGGATTATTTAAAATAGGCAGTATAATAAAAAATACATAAAGACATAAACTGGTTTATTGCTCGAATTTTAAGGGTCTGATACTACGAGAAGAAATAAACTACAAGAATCACTCATCAGTTTTCAAAAATGCAGCAAATTGAATTCCAAGAACGTGAAAACATCAAACAAGTTGCCAGAACATTGTATGAGAATATAACATATTTGATACAATTGTTATATAACAATTGTAATAATTTTTAATCATATTATTAGATTTTTATTGGGAAGATATCACTTATCTCTAGAAACGTATAAAGAGGCGGAAACACTGATCGCCAGACCAGATTGGGAAATTTATCACTATATAGGTAATTATATTATATGCATACAAATATAAATTATTATATAAATTATATGTGTATGCACTCTTATAATTTGATTGAAAACCACGTAAACAAAAAACAAATAAATGAGTGCTATTAATAACGTAAAACATATGCAACCAATATGTAATTATTTTTACTTAATTCGTCAAATATATTTCAACGTTTTCAAAAAAAACTTCGTATGTATTTACAATATAGATTTTGCGAGGCATTCATCGAATTATTAAATAAAAACAAAATTAGGGTTATTTCAAAATTAATTAATTACATTTTCAATGAGAAACATGCATTTGATTTGAATAAAAAGAATAGATTTCTAAGATTAAATGACATAAAATGATTATAGACAGTAACAATTCTGAAAAATAAACACTAATAATCAATATATAATTAATAAATTGACCGTTATTAGCAAATTTAATGTTTCCAATTGAAATTACTGATCTTCCCCGAATCGAGTTGGAGTTTACCTCAGTTCACGGATCTGCTCTAGGGCAGTACTAGGCATTATTATTATTATTATTATTATTATTATATATATATATATATATATGTATTTCAGTCAATTCGTCAAATTCAAATATAAATTGAAATTAATAATTCTTTTTTTGACTCTCTTAATAATTCTCTTATCATCATTAAATATCGATATGTATCATTCAGAAAATCAAAATACTTAGTCACAGAAAAATTAAGAATGAACAAAAGAATTTGTTAAAACAAAAACAATATTTTGCAAAGAGTATGCATACTATTTTATTTTCGATTTGCTGAATAATGACAACATATTAAGGGGGTATTCTAGTGTAGAGCGATAAATTTTAGATCATTTTTAAAGTGTCATAAAGAAAGCAATGGATGTTTTCACTATCTATTATTTTTACCACTTGTTTATTAATATTATTAAAATACAAAACAAAAATTAAAAAATAAAAAAGTTGAAAATTGTAAAAACTGGCAGCTGATGAAGTGGGTGGTCTCAAAAATTGGCACCTCAGTCTTGACATGATTTCAGCCCTCCTAGCCATCGGAAATGCAAAAAATAAAAAGATTATTAATTTACAATGATGTCGCAATCACCTGAACTAGCGATGAGTAAAAAAATTTTTTTTAACAAATTGGCGACTGCTTGAAAAACAGTGTTTTTTACTGTTTTTTTTGAGTTTCTCGAATTTTTTAAAAATAGTAAAAATTGGAATTTGGGGTTAATCAATCCTAGTTGGGGCTAAAGATAGGTCTATTATAAACAAGACTCTCTGATTATTTCAAGTGAATCGGTCGATTAAAACTCGAGAAATCTAGTCAACAGTACTGAAAATCTGTTCTGAGAAAAACGCATTTAAAGTTTTGCGTGAAGCCAAACCAGTATGGAGACCGAGTCAGTAAATGCCTATATCTCCAAAAATAATTCAAATTTTCGAAAACCTTCTCGTACCCATATTCTTAGATAGTTAAACTTTAAAAATATGAAATAAAAAAAATCGATTTTTTTGAATTTGTACACTAGAATACCCCTTTAAGTGTCGAACTAATAATTGTCAATATAAATATTTCAATTTCATTTCAACATATGGAAAGTGGAATGTTACAAAATTATTATATATAGCTACAAATCTTTTTATTTTCGCAAAAATTATATATCTTTGCATATATCCACATTATTTGCGAACATATCTTGTTAGGATAATCATGATTATCCTATCCTATTACTGCAGTTATAAGGTACTGATATGTTTTCGTACATGTAGTAAATTTAATAGTAAGTAAATTAGATGATTTCATCATGCAGTTTAGCACATGGTGTATATTAGGGAATGCAATACCGGTATACCGGTATACCGAATTACCGGTAAACCGCCCGATTTTTCGGCGGTATTTTTACCGGTTTCATTCCAAAAATACCGGTATTTTCGGTATTTTTACATAAGCGCTATTTGATACATAATACCCTAAAGTTTAAATTTCTCGGAACAAATTTATCTTTAAACTCCAGAATTGCATAAACAGCTATATCTTCAA